CTACAGCAGGGGCTTCCATGCTGGGCTCTTATAGTCAAAATAATCTTCTTGGAGCAGCCAAAAGAGACTGGCACTAATGTTATTGTGATTTCTCACTTTAAGAGCGATTTTAGCAAAACTAAAAAATACAGTCACTCCAAAGAAACAAAACTGAATATATGTATATCAATGAAGCTATGTTCTGTGTATTAATAGCAGTTTCTCTACTTGATTATCAACATTGGTTGAGAATTTCAAAGCACCTATGCAGTCTAGGAGATTTAGAAATGGAAATTAATGGAAGAGGTCTTTAAATCCCCTAGATAGTTTTGAAAATCTGAACCATTTTCTGTAAATGAATCAAAGGGTATGGATCCAGATGTTTGCAAAATATAAACACCCACAAGTACATACATAATAGAAAACATCTCCATTCCATTTTATGGCAGACCCCATGCCTCAGTAGCCATTGGTAGGAACTGCCAATTTTTAAAACTATTTTTTTTAAACAAGAGGTGTAAGATATGTATAATCTACTTCATTTTCCTTTCTGGTATGGGTGGGTAGGAGACCCATTTTTAAAGTCAATTTCTCTCCCCAGTCTTCATCCTTCCCTACCTCACTGCCTGTCAACTACCTTGAGCAGCAGTAGCAACAATATCTTCTTTCCCTGCTTCTAATGTCGCTTCCAAAAATGTTCCAAGGCAGCAGCAGAGTCAATCTTACAAGAGTATGGATTAGTTCACTTCTGCTGCTCAGATTGCTCAGGGGGAGCAGGAAGAGTGAAACTGACCACATCCTTCAAAGGTTTACTCTACTATTGCTCCAGAAATGACTGGAAGTAGTAATAGAAGTATCCACACGTCCTCTCAAAGAAATTTTATTATTTGTGGGAGAATGTGCAAGTACTTTTTACAAACTTCAGGTGATGGGAAACCTCTAATATATCAAGGCATGCACTTCAATTCAGCCCCTGTTGTGCACATACATTGCAGAACATAGTAATTCTGTATCTATATCCATTCTGTAATAATTACTGTACAAAATGGAGTTATCAAGCTATAATGAATGAACTTAAAAATTCTGATGTTCCCTAAGTAACTGTTTTTTTGATCTACCAAATGTTATCGTGCATCAAATTACGAATAAAGAGCACTAAATATTTCCCTATCAACAGATAATTCAAAATAGTTACAGGTTTAAAACAATAAATAGATTCAAAGATTTTTTTTAAGGATGGGAACCATTATAATCACTTAGTCCAACCTCCTGCATGACCACAGAATTTCAGCCAGTAATTCCTGCATCCAGCCCATAGTTTATGGTTGAGCTTGAGCATATATTTTAGAAAGACATACAATCTTGATGTAAAGACTTCAAGTGATGGAGAATCCACCACATTATTTGATAAATTTTTAAAATAGGAATTTATTCACAAGCACACACTGCTGGCTGAACCTTAACTATAGAGGCAGCATTATGCTAAATAATGCAACAACAAGGTGAAAATGATCCTTTTGTACCATCAGCTAATTTCTCTTGTCAGAAAGGGCTTGTGCAGCTACAAACTTTCACTGACACTGGATTAAACAGAAAAGAAACTCTAGAATTGTAGCAAATGAAATGCTGACATTGCTCTATAGTCCTTAAAACACAACTTTCTCTCAAATTCATGCAACTGTAAAAAATAAATACAAAACTGCAATCTTTTAATTCCCAGAATCACTGTTACAGTCTAGGGCCATAAGAGCCAATGCTTGGTACAGAAGCCTGTTTTTTCACAATAAGAAGATGGAGAGAAATATGCTAAACAACCCCATATATCATCATAAGAATTCAGTATATAAGACATTTTCTGTTCAGTGTGCTTGAATTCACAGAAAGGCAAGATACGTTAGCAAAACATAACAGATTACTTGTCACTTTAAAGCATCTCCCAGCATTAACTGCTTTTTGCTGTAAGTACAAACATACTAACATCTTTGACCAGCTTTTATGCTCAGAAGTAACAGATGAACAGTTCAATAACAAAGTAGATGATGGGTCAAATGGGTGTTAGCTATGGGCACTTACAAGTTTTACAAACAACATATGAAGAGAAGTTCAGCCAGATAGTAAAGCAAAGAACTGTCAGCTCCTGAGGGAAGAGAGTCAGAAAGATCAAGAGTATAGTGAGCTAAAGCAATTTTCTGAACAATGTAAATGCGCCCAATAAAGGAGGGCAAAATAAGGCTCAGTGCAAACACAGGATAGGAAACTTTACTCATAACCTTCTGAGTTTTATTCCAACAGGCAGGTCCTCCTCAGCTCTTCATAAATCCCCTTTGTACTGCTCCAGAGGAATCCACAGTTGGCTCAGTGAGCCCTAGAGCACCTGCCACAGGCCCCCTTGGTGGAGGAGATGGGCCACGGGGGTTGTCAGGGACAGAAATCAACGTTCTCCAGTAATTCTGGTTGATGAAGGGGCTCCTTGGAAGCAGTTATCTACTAGCGCAAATTAGAGCAGCCCCGGTTGCTGGACTAGGTGAGCCAATGTTTGACTTTTTCCTCTTTATTCCTGCCACGCACTTGTCTTCCTATGTCAGCTACAGACAACAAAGAATTTCAGTGCCGTTTCACAAGAACGAAGAAGATACCACCCCCCAAAACTGGTCAAGAATTGATGTTCTGCTCTCATGCAAATAGACAATGTGGAAACTTGTTGTAGTGTATATACTTGATCAGTAAATTCAGACAGCTAGTGTTATGATGCCTTCTGGTGCACTCCTGTCACATGCTACTTCAGTGATACAAACCATATTGAAATGTTTTCACAGGGTCATACCCGAATGAAAAAATATTTTAAATATTATGTTACTAAGCAGTGTTAAAGCAAGCAATAGCACACTGCTAGAAAACAGAAGGCAATTTATAGTGAGCACAGATATGAAGACCACTAAGCTGGCCCCAGAGAGCACTTTTAGAGCACAAGGCAGAACAGTTTATTACTGAGATTATTAGCAATTAAGCGTATTTCCTTTGCGTGCCTTTTTATACCCCAGACATAAGCCAATCCATACTTATGCCAATCAACAGATTTATACTGTCTTCAACATTGCATTGTAACACAGAAAAGATTCTATGTAAGAATCCACATCGTTTACACAAAAATTGGCCTCTGTTAGCACCGGGATATGGAAAGGATTACTCTTTGTCTATTACATCCCAAAGCTGATCACTCCTATGCTACAGATGAAATCAGGTGCTAAGTTATGCCTTGTCTAGGTCATCAGTTAGGGATTCAGAACTACCTACTGCATATTTTTTCTAAATCTACAGCAGAAACATACATGTATGTTCTGTGAAGAAAAATACTCTACCGAATAAAACATTGACTCTCTACTTGGGATGGCTATATCAGTTGAAACACCAAATGTTGAGACAAGAAGAAACCTTTCCAGGTTCTTTTTGGCCCAATTCCAAAAATATAAGATATATCTACTTTTTTAAAAAATCTGCTCAAAATACTTTTGTAGACTGCTGACAATTATATGTTAAAGGTGCACTGCAAAGGAAAACATATATTAGGGATAGCTCAGTGGTTTGAGCATTGGCCTGTTAAACCCAGGGTTGTGAGTTCAATCCTTGAGGGGGCCATTTAGGGAACTGGGGTAAAAATTTGTCTGGGGATTGGTCCTGCTTTGAGCAAGGGGTTGGACTAGATGACCTCCTAAGGTCCCTTCCAACCTTGATACTCTATGACTCTTAATGACATTTAAAGTATGACGTCTTGTTTAACAAAATAACCAACTTTTTTCCACGCTGTGTTTAAGACTCAACATCCTTTTCCCCCTCATTCGGGTCATCGGGTACTTCACCTGGTGTGATATCACTATTCAAGACTCCTGCACACCTTGTCAGATTTTTTCCATGAAAGGTATGGAAGAAAGGATATAATATTCCTGATATCGTGGTGCAGAAGATGAACAACAACAAGCAAAATCAGAAAAATCTTTCTGAAAAATAAGTCTGAGGCAGACTTCGTCCATTTTAAAGAAGCAGCTGACACAGCTGACACAGGAAGGCAAGCAAAGAGCATAGACAAATGGTATCTTTAGCATGAAGGACTATTCTTAACTCTGTCATTAGAACAACAAGATGGTGATTGCATCTGCATTTTCATTAGATTTACACACAAAGTAAGGTTTCAACAATTTACTACCACTTTAACAATTTACTTTCAGTGCTCAAATTGGCAAAAGCTTCGAACTAAGCATGTGAACAGCCCCACTGAAGTTAGCCACATCTGAATGCTTCACTGGATCAGGACATAAAATTAACAAATAAGGACTCTAGAAAAAAAAACGTTTTTCATGTGCACAGTCATATTTGGAAAATGAATTTACAAATAGATCACCTACAACTAAAAGAATTCAACTGGCACCTCAGGAAAGAACCTTCTCTACCTCCAGAAGCCATAGTGAACTTTGGCAAAGCGAGTATAGCATATGCCAAGGCTCTGATCCTGCAAAGAGACATGCACTTGTGCCAGTGCTAAGTACCAGTGAAATCAATGGGGCCCAAATTAACCACATCAGTCACTGAAATCAACAGGGCTTTACAGAAGCACGAGGATTCTTCACAGATTAATGGTACAAATTAACACCACTAGCTACTTTTTAAGCGCCAAGTCCTGTAAACATTCACAACGTGAGTAACTTCACTCACAAGGGTAATCCGATTGAAGTTAATGGGACTAGTCATATGAAAGCAGGTACTCATGTTTTTTTTCAGGTGTAGGCCCTAACCTTCTGTCTACAAAAGGGGTAAGATATTTCTTGAATTTACTGATCCATCTCTCTCTGCGTTTGCTAATCATTTCTCCGTTACCATCTATATCCAGATAAAACCAAAGATACCTCCCACTACAGAATCTCAAACACTACACAGAGAAACAGTGCAAGGTGTATCCCATCAGCATAAAAAAACAGACTTTCATTCAAACTATTTCTTAATCCCAAATAAAACTGGGAAGATTTTACCCCATATTATAGGCAGTAAACAAGTTATATGAATGGTCACTATTTAACAGGCAACCCAGATTGTTCAACTGCATCAGTGGCTGCATCAATCTATTAAAAAAAAATTAAATTTTGCAATATCATTCCACCAGCACATAGAAGATTCCTCAGTTTTATGATCCAAAAAAAGCACAATTCAATAACAGTTCTGACCTTGGGTATAAAAACACCGTTCTGAAAAAACAGCAATAACTGCTGTTCACTTGAGAGTTCAAAAGACTACAGACCCCCTTTTCAAGTTCACAGAGGGTAGATGAATAAGCCAAATAAAAAATTGCATGTTTAGTTATTTCACAACTCAGTGGGCCAGATCCTCAGATGGTATATATCAATATAACTCCCTTACAGTCAATAAAGATACACCACTTTACATCAGCTGAGATTCTGGCCCAAATATTTCTTTATGGGCATTTCCTTTCATTTACTTATTCTGACCTTAACAACGGTAAACACAATTAGAAAGAAATCTTAGTTTAATAGAAATATAGCTTACATAAATAACCTAAAATTGTGTTCTATAATTTAAGTAAACTCCCAAATCAGACATAGATTTAGATTTATTGACCTAAACCAATCAACTGTTGATTCATATAACTGACGGACTGAGTCAAGGATAGACAAAGAATATTTTAAAGGAGGCTGAATTAATACATTTTATTATGAGTTAAAATGACTATATATTTCCTTTGTAAACTGTACATGCTCATTCATAAAGATAAAAATTATACAAATTCCTTTCACATTTTATGTTATATTATTTTCTCTTCAATAATTACTTCAGTAGAAATGTTAAAAGCCCCTTTCTTTCACTGGAGAGGGTTTGGTGCTGTTGAACAGTAATCTACAATAGGACAGATTGTAACCATTTCTCTGCCATGCACACACACTGACTTGCATGAGTGATCCCATTATTCAAGGGAATGATCACCCAGGGAAGTAAAGGTTCATAATCTGATTCTTTATTATTACCACAATTACTTGAATTTTCTTTTTTATAAGGGCTTTGACATATTGCTGTGTTTTAATGGAGTTGTGCTTTAATTGTTCTACCTATTCACACTTCTCCTTTTTAAAAAGTCATTGGTGGCATTTATTTAAACATGCTCTTTAGCTTGGACAGTTTAAAAATCTGCTATACCTTCCTACCTTGGGCTAAATATTAAAATTCTGGGGAAAACTGCATACTAACAAAATAAATTCTTCACTACTGTATTTAGTATTATAACTAGCTATGCAGCCTCAACTGATATGCCTTTAATTTGGAGGGTCTTATGCGTCTCCAGAGGGCCTGCTCTTTCCTACGGATAACACATCTATATTGGATGAAAAACAGTTCATTACCTGGAAGGCGTTCATGCAGCGTAGTGAGGGTGGCAGACAAGCATTACTCAAACTCAGTATCAACAACAATTCCAAGCAGGTTTTTGATGGAAATGTTAGAGGATGAACCCCAATATCATTTTCCCATTCATCAGCAAGGCTGGAAAGTAACAAGAAATCCTGTTAATTAATTCATGTAAAGTTAATTCACGTAAGATACACAGTGCACACACGGTTCAAACAAACGCTAAAAAAAACTGTGCTGTTTTCTATACCCTAATAGTTCTACTTCATGTGCACTGTCCTTTAGGAGTCACAGGCCAATGTATTTTTCTTACAAGGTTGGTAAATGTGAGAGGTATTGTGCTATTATCACCAATTTTACAAAAAAGATACATAATGAGACAAGACATTTAGCACCCATCAGAACAATTCATTTTTACATTTGTAATTCTAAGTTTTAACAATATTCTGAATCAGATCTCAACTGTCACTGTTAATTTCCTATCATACAGTACTTTTGCATATACAATATTGCAAAGGAACAGCTAGTGTATTATTATTAATCCTTTTTATTTTTATCCAGTAGCAAAACTGTCACTTATCACTGATGAAAAGGTAGGCGGGCAGAGACTCTGATGCCAATTGATTTTTATAGTATAGCAATGGAACAAATCTACACCAACCAAAATCAACCCTAGTTTACTTTACATGGCTTTCTGGTTTGAATATAAAATGCACTGAAATTCTCAGAGCTAATCACACTCAAGCACAGAAACAGCAGACCAACATAACTTTTTTTTGGTAAATATTTTTGCCAATTTATGCTGAGGAATAACAGATTGTTTCAGCAAAACCAACTCAGAATGTCAGCACAACCAGTTTGCAAACGCATGTTAAGCTAGACTTCCTTTTCTGACAATTCTTACATGGAAGATCAGATTAATGGTTCATTCAGTCCAATAATCTCTCTCACAGTGGCCAGTATGATGCTTGACAGCAAACTGCAGTTACAGATTTAAATACGTATTTTTATTAGCAGGTCAGCCACTTCATTCTCGCATTTCTTCAGCTCTCCTGGAAACATATGAACCAAACCTGGTGACTTGTTGCTGTTAAATTCACTAGTTTGTCCCTCCTCTTTCAACAACTGAATCTCTACGAGTACCTGAAAAGAGCAGGTACCATCCCACCATTCTCTGTGGCATAGACCGAGACAAAGAACTCTCTCATTCATTCATTCAACCTGCAATATCCTTGCCTTCCTTAATTGCTCCCTTTAGCATTGGTCCTCTAGCTCCCACTGATTCTGTGACAGACTTACTGCTTCTTATGTACCATACTTAAAACATTTCTTGTTATCTATTTTCTCTTCACACTCCCTCTTAGTTTTCCAAATTTCTATCTTATGTTTTACCTTCCACAGTGTATGCTCCTTTTTATTGGCATCTCAGGGATGGGGATTTTTACTTGAGAAATACCCATTTGGCTTGAATGGCCTCTTGAACTTTTGCATTTGATCACACTGTTTTCCTCCCCCCTTGCCTCCCTTCTTCCTTTTTTGTTTGGAAGTATGGAGGATTCCTGTGGCTCTATTACATACACTATGCTGAAACAGCTGCCATACTGCATCCAAGGATTTTAACTTTCTCAGTTTTGACTTAAGTGATTTTTTTACTTTATTTTAAATCCACCTTTTCTAAAATAGGTCAATGTGCTCATTTTTGGAGATGTTTCTTTCCGCAAGGATGTTGGGGAAGTTCTATGGCCTGTGTTATACAAGAGGTCAGACAGGATGATCAGAATGGTCCCTTCTGAACTTGGAATGTATGACTGTATGGATTTAATTATATAGTGGCTCAATTATAGTTACTTCTTAAACCAACCTCTATGGATTCCTTAGTACTAAATCAGGAATAATGTCTCCTTTTGCATGCTCTCAGACTAGCTGATCCAAGAGAGCATGGTTTACATTGCTGAAAGTTGTTTCTCTAAACCTTCCCTGATGTGAAATTTGACCAGTTTATATTTGGGCAGTTACTATTGTTTTATTAGACTCTCTGCTTCTTTGTTCTTCTTCTGCTCTCTCACTCAAGGGAGTATTAAAAAATGTTTTTCTTCTTCTGTAATTGTCCTTGTGGATGAAAGAAAAGCTCCTCTTTGCTAAAAATGGAGTATTTCATTGTTTTCTAACGCAGTTATTGATTTTACAGAGCCTGTTTTGATTTTGCATAGACTAGCTATCTCAACTGCCATCTAGGAGAAAGTATTGCTTGCTTTCATGCCACCAGCTCTGGAAAAGGCCCCGTCATGTGAGGCGAGTGCCTCCTAGGAGGTACTAAGCATCTAGTGGGACCAGCATCCCCAGGAAGCACTCTGCTCCTTGCAGGATCAGGTCGAAGATGCTAGTACAGAAAGAGTACCTCAACACTGTTCATTATTTATATTTCCCTATTTTGACTAGTGTATGGATCCCTCTGCTACTTCCTCTTCTGCCACAAAATTCCATGAAGGTGAACCCAGACTGGAAGTAGATAATAGAGGGGTATAAACACAAGTCTCTAGTTTGGACTAATTTTTATGACCAGACAACTCACCACTGAAAATAAACCTGGACAGTTGGCATGAGTCAAGTTTAGAAATCAACCCCCAAAGCAGGTAGATACAGTAAAATGTACTCAACAAAACGGTTCTGAACTAGGAACAGCACACGTCTTGAGTTAAGCAAAAAGGACACGAGTGTGCTTTGCAGCTGGACACTAAATCCTTACTTCTATCCTTATACATTGTTAAAATTCAGTCATGCCTGCCAGCTATTTCCTTATTAGGAAAATTCTTCCTAGTCATAAGTTAAAAATAAAATCAATAGCTTTCTTAGCTAGAAGCACCGTGTACTGTAAATATTCAAAAGGAGGTAAAAACCTCAAGCCCCTGAAATACTCCACATACAACTTAGAAATCGATTAGAATAGTAGAAATTAAAAGTAGAATATACTGTTACTGTAGAGATCATCTAGTACACTCATTGGGGAAAAAAGGCTTACATTTAAAGTAGCAAAGGCAATTTTCCAAATTACTTGAATATACTGAGGTTAGCCTAGTGTGAATTTCCAGATATCATCCAAAACAAATTCTTCTACTTTACCAAAAAGATATTAATTACTTCCCACCCCTCTTATTATAAAGTCTTTGCTTCACAGATAACTAGATTCCAATGAACGTTAGTGTGAAGTGTTTATTTATAAATTTGTTCAGATGTGGTTGATTATTTATAGCAGATCTCAGTCTTCATGTGAAATCTCTTTTTATGGGAAAGTAAATTTCTTAAAGAGGCTTGCCACAGAGCTTAAAAAAAATGTGTCTCATTACCCAAAAGCAATACAGCACAATCTTCTTAATCAGGCTGTCCAATATTGGGATGTCTCTCTGGGCACCTATGTAGTCTAGCAACAGGGAATGGCAATGAATACTGCTTAATTGGGATAGTATTAGCATGAATTAGCTAACACAGAAAGCAGCAATGCATTCCTCAGCAACACAAGCTACAACAAGTACATCAAACCTCTCCTTCACTCTCCAACAGGCTTCCCATCTAACAAATCAAATTCGAGGTCTCAGTCCTTTATCTTCAAGGCATTCAATGGTCTGGGCCCAGTACAAATGAAAGATCTCTGAAGCTCTGGGATGAGGATCATAGTTGACAACTTGGCTCCTCAAGTACAATGAAGCTGTCCATTGCAAGGGTAAAGCTCGTTTGTGCAAGAGTGGGAGCTTTTTCTGGGGCCACTCCAAATGCAGTGCAACAACTTTCACAGGATCTAGGGACGACATCAAACATCACCACATTCTGTGCCAACTGCAAGGTGTACTTCTTTGACCTTGCCTACACTCCCACCCCCAACACAGAAGACATAAAAGAATTAAAAAAAAAAGAAAGAAAGAAAATAAGAACCGCACATAACTTTATGGAGAGAACGGAGAGTGTCATGTTGCAAATGCTAGTCACATTGCTTAATGCACTTCTGGGTGGTGCACTAATACTGTAGCGATGAGGGATGTATAAGAGTCTGAATGGAATAGAATTCTGCTGAATGGGGGCCCACAAGACTACTGCTATAAAGTATGTCTTTCTATGCTTTGATCTTTTAAAATGGAGGATACAAAATAATAAACATTAAGAAATAAAAAATTAAATGCCATGAACAACATTTTACTCTTTTTCCTAGTAGTTTTGTATATTGTGTCTTTCCAGAGTTTTCCCTAAGGGCTTGATCCCTGCAGCAGGGAGTCAGGTAGTGATATCATAATCATGTTACCATACTGGGCAAAAGATACAAAGCAAGGAAAATAATGTTGCTGTTGTATGTGTGATAGAAAAAGATTTAAAACAGTATGAGAGATTTTTTCAAAGTCTCGGGGATTTGTCTATCTTCAATGAAAATGAATGGAAGATAGTGTCTAAATCACCTAGATTGCTTTGAAAATGTCAACCAGTATTTTCTGATGTTTAACAAATTGATTCTAACTGCAAATGTGAACTTCACAAAAAATGACAATGACTATTCAGATTAAACTAGTGGTGAAATTGTCAAAGATCCTCAACCAAAACAGTTGACCAGACTCTTTAGGTAAGCACATCCAACATTCTATACTCCAGAGAACAATGATATCATGCCAATCATAATTATGGGATATACCATGTGAGCAGCTGAGCACCCTCTACTCCCAATTTAGTCAAAATAAGACTCAGAAGAAGTTCTCCTCACCCTGATGGTGCAAGGCTTAAGATATTAAAATTGTGAATTATGTATTTATTTTGTCATTCCCTGAACCCACATAAGAAGTGTTAACAGACAGAAGAAGTCTTGCATCAATACATGGAAAATGTGCACACAGTCACTAGTCTTAATAAACAGTACCTGTTTAAATTCCCTTGCACATCAATAAGAGATCAGACCCTTTTATGTTTCAAGTCCAGGAAAAATGTTATCTATGTCATTTGAAAAACTGCACTGGACTTTGTTTCGTTACATTATCTTTCTCTCAGGGATTTACAGACTCTTTGGAGCATATCAATGGCAATCATCTTTCAGCCAAGGAAATTTGGGTGCAACTCCCTACAGAACTCATCATCCTCAGTAATAGGCCAGAAAAGTTGCT